AATGCTGTGCAAAAGGCATCTTGAAAAAAGCCATTCATCTGGACAGTGAGCGTTTATTTCTTTAAAAAAACACTAACATTAAAATAAACACAAATAAACAAATAAAAATACATTGAGATTTTATGTCAGTGTGTTTAACCATTTACAAATGTTGAGGAAGTCCCATATTTACAGTTACCATCTAATACCCAGTTTAGTAGATCCATGCTTCATTAAATTAAATCAGGTGCAACACTGAAAGAACAAATTCATGCAATGACTTAAAAGCAGCAATAAGTTCTTCTAACTATATTTCTCTAACCAACATATCAGTAACTTTTTAAAACTATTCTCATATTTAGATTTATACTAATGTTTCTACTTGCACAAACACTCTTACTGCAGAGATAAATATTTTTAAACAATTTTCTTGGCTGTCTAAGACAGTACTGTATGCCCCCTGTGTATTATATAAAGCACTATGCAAACGTTTTTGCGCCTAACAAAATACCAATATTACAATACATACAAATAATATCAATATAATAAGCAGTGCTTTTATGTGTATCAGTGTGTTTGTTTAACCATTTTCAAACCTCTCTTTGTTGTATCATTTTTAGTCATAATCCAATGCCTGGTTTGGCTGATCAGTACTTTATTAAGCCAAATCAGGTGTCCTGCTAGTGGAATTAAAGACGTCCATACCTGTTACTTTTATTGTAACTATATTTACGTTTATTTGCATTTATTATGGATATATGGTGATTTTAAGCAAATGCATGCTTATTTCTTAGATAAGTGGTTGTGAATAATATGCTTAGGTACCTAGGGCACAGTATTGTGTAGGTAAGTGCCGGTATGTAATAAGAAATCTAACCCTAACCTTAACCTCAGTAGCAAAAAAAAAAAAAAGTTTTGCAGATGCACTTAAAAAATGAAGCATGTAGCTTTTATTAAAAACGTACAAATTCATGCAAGCAGTTAACAAAATCAGCATCTTTTTTTGTCCTGAAAATGTACAAAAACAAATATACACACACGCACACAGTCCAGACATTCCTCACTTCTTCCAGGTAAAAAAACAAAAAAAAATTACAGCAGAGGGCCATTCGGGTGCATTCCAGATGTAGTGTGTGTGTTTGCGTGAGTGTGTGTGTGTGTGTGTGTGTGTGTGTGGAGGAGGGCAGGGAGCGGCCACTCTCAAGGGAGGCAGAGTGGAGCAGAATGGGAGCTGGCACCGCATTATCTCCAACAGTTGGTGCATTCCTTAATGATCAAGTGCTGGAGCAGCATCTGTGCAAGTTTGTGTGTGTGTGTGCGTGTGTGTGTGTGTGTGTGTGTATGAGAGGGTAGGAATATGGGAAAGTCTTCCATAAAGCCTTTGACCCTCTCAAGACAGTTCCATCACAGCCATAAAAGGGAGTGCCATTCTCTTTTTTCCCCTTCTTTTCATCTGAGAGGAAAGACTGTGTGTTGTTGTTTGTTGTATGTGTGTTTTTAGTCTGAGAGGAGTGTGTTGATGTGGTTGCGTCTGACAGAGGAAGCATTTTTCCTCGGGGGTGAGGGCCCTTCTAGAGAAGAACCAGAATCACAGACCCCTGAGCTGTGTGATCCTGCTGCCAGGACACACACACACTAACCTGACTCTCACACGGGGTGAGAGAAACAAACTGTGAGTTCAGGATTGGAAAAGTCAATAAAGTAGAAGTAATGTTAGAATGACCCTAAAGCAGAGATGTCCTGTTGGCCGGGTTGTAATGGACGATGTGGGGATTCAAGCACAATAACATTTCTTCTCCGTTTCTTTTAGCTGCTCCAGATACTTTCCTTGAGGATTTGAAACTTGTTTCATTATTTGAAACTGAAATATTGTGATTCCAGGGGTGAAATAAATTATTTATTTTTATCTGGGGAAAAGAACAACTGAATTTTTTTATGCTAAAAAATTTTCACAAATGACATTCATTTAGTTCATTTCTAGTCAGTTTGAGTTTTTGAATGCTTCTTTGTCTACACCAAATAAAAGGCACTTAAGGCTAGTCAAAAAAAACTGAACGAAGCATCACTCTGATCAGTACAAAGACATTACCATGACATGAAATTTTGCTTTCGTCATCCCGTGTTCATAAGCCTGATGATCCATTTCAGCTGGAATGTCCTGTGGCCTGGAGTACCTCATGATATGACTACAATACCCAGAAACACAAAGAGTCAGTAATGGAGCCTCCAAAGTCGATCCCGGCACTTTTGCGCTCATGAATTGTGCCCTTTTGTTCAGCAGGAGTGCGTCCACAAGTGAGGCATTGTGAGAGTCACCGGCTTGGCAGTAAACCCCCCGCAACCCGGTGTCGGAGGGCCAGCGGCGAGAAATTTCTGCTCTAGACCTCTGTCCTCTGGCCTCTTCCACACAGAACAAATACTATTCTTCTTCCCCATGATGTCATCTGCAGGCAACATGACACTAGGGAGGGCCCTTGCTCATCGCTCATGTGTGCAGAACAGGGGGCTCTTGACTTGTGCAGTGGCTTAGGAGTCCAAAGGGGTTTTGGTTAAGGGAGAGCTGCTGAGGAAATATTGGCCCACTGTAGTGCAGCCGGGGCCGTTTCCATTGTTGCTAAGAATGAGGTTTTACAGACTGCGTTAACCAAAAGGAGATGTAATAATGATAATAATAATAACAGTAATAATAATTATATACACAGTGGGTTCCAGAAGTCCAAGGCTGCATTAAAAATCTGTTTTCTGTTTTTTTTTAGTCTCATTTCTTCCACTGAAGCATGTGTTCAGAGGAAACTTCACCAGAAGCTTTGGCACAAGTTTGTGTCCAAGCCACCTTGTGTGCGCACTGTCATTAAAACAGCATTGGGACATACCCTACCAAATACTAAGAATTTCTAAAATTCATGTTTACGTTTCAAAGATACTTTTTTACTCACAGTTGTGCTGATAATATAATTTGTGATGAAAAACTTTGTATTCATTTAGAAAAGAATGCAATAGAACGGCATTTTCACCAGTGGGCATTTAGGCCACCTGTATTCAAACATGCATTTGATAAAAAAAATGTTTAATACATTAAATTAAAAATTATAAATATTAATCTGTTTACTTATAGCAGCTTCACCAGGAGCCCAGTGGTGCTTTACAATACATACTCTGGCACATTACCATAGAAAGACACAAATAAAATCAGTGATCCAGTTTATGCAGTACAAATACATCAGCTATACAAAGAATTGTGTGCATTTCTATAAAGATAAGCTTTGAAAGTAGATATAAGAGTGTTCACATGATGTACTACGATACCGAAGGAGTTGGTTATACAAGTGGCAGTCTTAGAAATGATAACTTTTATAACTTTTATGGACAGTTCTAAACGAGATAACATGTAGCTCCTATGGAAGGCCTTGATAGTAAGAAATCTCCCCGTCTTTCTTTTGGTCACTTTATAAGTGTTTTGTTTGTGTGCATATAGTGTAAATGTGAATGTTTGATGCGTGTGTGTGTGATGGGAACAGCCTGACCCGGGCTGCGAGGCTCTGGTGAGCAGTGTGTTCTTTATCAGCGACCCCGGACCATGGCTCGACGGATTCCAGCCATTCCTCCCCCTGATTCATTGTCTGACGGACAAATGTTAATTGTTTTCATCATTGCTGGCTGCACGGCCCGGCAGCCCTGCCCCGTCCACCACCTCGTCTACCTTCTTCTTTAATGTCTCTTTGGAGTGCCTGTACCTTATCTGCAGTATCACCAGCCTGCAGTGACCTCCAGAGATCTTGCAGCACGGCCCTTGTTAAATCCAGACAACAGCTCCACCCCACACGCTTGTATATGTGTGTGTGTGTTTGTGTGCTGTCCTCTGTTTCTTTATCAGTGACCATTGTGAGTGCTTGATATTGATAATGATATTGAGCATGCAAGTATATCCATTTTTTTTTTTTTTTTTCACTTTTAGAAAGAATAGAAATGCTGAGCCAAGCTATTGATTTCTGCTTATTCACTTACATTTGTGTTCAAGTTATGGAGAGATTCACCTTGGCACTGAGAATAGATTTATATTAGGGCTTTATTGAGAATTATATTCTACATTTAATTCAATTGCTAACCCTGCTGTGTTTGTTCTATAGGAAATTCCAATACACTCTTTTTGACCTTTAGGAAATGTTCTCTGATGTAGTTTTAATGTACTGCTACACCACACTCACTTCACTGTAGCCCATTAGAGCTAGCCTGCTGCACAGACTGCTTTTTAGCTCTACAATCTATTCTATAGCATAGCTGATTTTTATTCTGGTTCTTTTGTAATGGTGCTTTAGAGACCCAGCCGCCTGTAGCATTTCCTCCTTTACAATTTTCTGAACTTTTTTTTCCCCAGTAGGCCTACTACTTTACTTCTGAATAGGTGAGCATTCATTCAACGAGGAGTTTTTTTTTTCGACTCTCATGATCAACAAACACAAACTGTTGTGTTCCTCAAGGTTTTTGTGGCTCAGACTCCGAAACACCGCTATGGATTTAAGGCCCGTTTCAATACGTGCTCCTCTTGCAGTGCATGGCACTTGAGCTCCCTCGTGTTCCTTGATTTCATTGGTGTATAATACTACATGATAATGCCGTGTTCAAGTGTTTAGATGATTAGATGATGCTTCTTTTTTGAGATGATCTATTTCTTCTAGTTCATTTTTGGTGTACATACTAAAGTAATTAAATTTGTGAAATAGAAGAGGATTCATAACATCATAAATAATAGAAAAAAAAAGTGGAAAACAGATGCGCTGATGTTAATCGTGTGTCTTTTCTGTTTTTTTTTGTTCTGCTTAGAATTGCTGCTTCTTTGCCTGTCATTGTGCACACTTTTAGACACATTCATCTCTTACATTTGTTTTCAACAATGCGAATTCAGAATAAAATCACGATGTGCCCGATTTGAACAATGGACCTCTCCTTGTTTTCCTGCATGTTTTTCTGTGTTTTATGTAGGAGTTATAGCCAAACTCATGTACTGTCTTTCTCTCTTTCAGAATCCTCCTGCATGGAAAAACTCCTTTCTAAAGACTGGAAAGAGAAGATGGAGAGACTGAACACAAGTGAGCTTTTGGGAGAAATAAAAGGTAAGTTTGCTTCTGTGTGTGTGTGTGTGTGTGTGTGTGTGTGTGTGTGTGTGTGTGTGTGTGTGTGCATGCAGAAAATATGTTTCCGTCAAAGCTGACACAGTCTCCTTTTTTTATCAGAAGTGATTAGAAAAGCAGCCCCTACAACTGGCACATGGCACTAGAAGTAGCCGAGTGTAACTGCTTTTCGGCTGGTTTTATCTCTTTATCATCGTTTTGAGTCTGAATATCAGCCGCTTTGCCTTTAGGGTTGTAGTGAGCATTCGTCTGACTGCATTATGGGGGTTGTACTTTTCCAGTTAGTGTAAGTGCAGTTAGGAGCTGATGTTGGTCAGATACATGAGACTTATATGATGGTCAGACAAAGCTTGAGAGTAAAGCAGATTTGAAGTAATCGGAGCAAAGAACGCTCTCAGTTCCCACATCCTTCTCTTTTTTTTTCCTGGGCGCAGATCTTAGCACTGACTGTTACAGGCGTGTGTTTATGTAGCAGCAGCAGGCGCAGTACCAGCCCTGTGATAACACCGGAGCTTTCTCCAGCTCTGGCTCCACTCTCCTCCCTCCCTACTCACTATCTCTCTCCTCTCTTCTTTCTCCCTCAGTCTGGCACTTTGTTCCCCACCAAAACCCTTTCTCACCCACACCCTTAGTCCGTTTGTCACATATTCTCACCACATGCCTGTGCCACTCTGCAACTGAGCCATGCTTCAATAACCTTCTTTAAAATCTATTTCATTTATTTATTTTTTTTGCGTGAAGGAGATGAAGGTGTCAAAGGGATCCACTTAGACTACCAGATCCTGCATGGCGAAGTATCAATATGTAATGCCAATTTTAATGAAGTGGGTATTTAGGTCCAGTAAATAGCAGGAGTCTGATAGCAGAGCCAGTAACGTTTGAGAGAAGAGTGTTATTGTTCTTCTGTTTCCCAGCTTAATGGTTCCCCTGTACCTCCCGTGCTATTTAGAATTATAAATAACATTTGTCCTTGGTTTTAATTATCGGATTAGATTTACTCCGTGTACTAAAAGGGGAGGAGGGAGTAAAAGAAAAAAACAGTCATACATTCTAATAAGTGTATTCATCGGCAATAACCTTAATGAACCCCGCACATGTAAATCACGTCGCGGAAGATTCATTGTACCTGCCCCCGTTATGTGCCACCGTAGATCAAAGTGCAGTGGAGAAAATGGCGGGGGGGAATGATTTAGCCTTTTGAAAGCAGATATTTTAAAATTACAGGGCATTTTTGCGTTTGATAAACGGGCGAGAGGTGAGGTCACGCTTCGAAGGTAGGAGCAGGTAGAGGTGTCGACAATGCCCCTTCCTCGGTGGCTACACTCTGCCCTTCCCCACCGAGACTCGAGCCGACACAAGGAGAAAACAGACAGAACTACTTTTCATATCATACCGGCAGCCTAAGGTTTCTAATTAGCGTGCCATTTCATATGACTGTAGACATTTCAAAGGCCTGCTTTGTGCTCCCCCTTACAAAATGTCTCTCTGGCGCGTTTGAAGTCGGCCCGATGTAAGTACGGGCAATTAAAAAGGAAGCTCAGGGTTGGAGACACACAAGGTCTGCTTAATTAAAACACAAACAAAGGCACCAAGCTGGAAAAGAGAAAAATACACACACACACACACACACAGAGACCCTCGCGCACGTACACGCGCATGCACCGTATGATTAAGATCTAAAGTGCAATGATAAATCAGAGACCACGTTAATTGTCGGGTTAAAAAATCAATACAAAGGCCACGCGCGCCTGTAGGTTTCATATGAATGGGAGCGAGTGGCAGATAAAGGATGACATGAGGATGAAAAGCCGTGGCTGCCTGGCTGGCCTTGCTATTTCTCCTCCCGACTGTATGCATTCGGCCCGTAGCCAATGGGACTGCACATTCTGCCTGGAGCTCATTGTTCGTCCCATTGTCTCTTCATCACAGGGGGAAAAAAAAAGGACTTGCTTTTGATGTTTTGACGATAAATGAGCGAGATATGAATTTCTGCCGCACGGGAGGAAAAAATCTGTACTTTATTTTTGCCTTTTAGAAAGGCAGCTCCACCTTTAGTGAGAGCTGTTAAGCATGAGCTCTGTGGAGATGTGGCTGTTTGTTTTTTTAGCCTGTTGAGGCACCAGGACAATTCTGCCTGTTGCTTCAACAATGGAGGAAGTCCTATTGGTGGGAGAACTCCCCCGGAAACCCTTCAGGAACAAAGGTACAATGACCCAGGTGAAATAAGAGAGAGGAGAACAGTTAGCTATGCTGTGCGTTCTTAAACCAGAGCAAGTCGGCACTCGCTCTCTCTCAACATGATCTCCCAAACAAGTAAACAAAATTATGACAGCAGCTAGTTTTTCTGGGTTTGTGACTGGTCACATGGAACGGTGCAGAAGAAATACATGCAATGGATGCTGAAAGATAGTGTTTTTCATAGTCAACAAGTTTTTAAATAAAATCGAATACACGTTCTGAAGGTGGTTTAAGACATGATTTGAAACATCAAGCAGTTCTGCTAGACTCTCCAGTCAGCTTAGAAGTATTTCCTCTTGTGTTACTTCTAAGCCTGTCCAGGTTGTAGCAGGGATAGAGTGAGGGCGCAAAGCAGAGCAGGCCATGTATCCCTTTCCCGCAGGCCGCTGCCTGAGCGATGTGTTTGTTTTCATACCTGAACTTTGCTGTCAGTCAGGAGGAACGGTGAGGAGAGGAGCCGCGATCTGCTGAACAAAACCACAGAGCAGGAGAGGCAGGCTGTCTGGAGAGAGGCCAAGCCACAGCACAGCCCAACATGGCTTGTTGGCACACTCTGAGAGGTGCAGAGAGGAGGGGAAGAGGGGTACTGTCCTGTACGGTACTACGCAATTCGCTTCCAGTATTGTGGAGTAATGAGAGACACTGCCCTATCAAGACTAAAAGTTGCTGTAATTATACCAAAATTATCATAAGCTCATTGGCATTACAAGTAAATATGCAGTTGCATTGAAATAATACAGCAACAGGACAGCAGTAACTCTAGACGCCTGGATCCTTGATGCTGTAGTAAAAGTCTAATTTATGTTACGTGTTGTTTAACCACATTCTTCATTTCTTATCATAGTCACCATTCCACCTACTTAGCACTGGAGAACAAAAAAGAAAAAGACTCTGCTGAAAATTCGAGTGGTATTTTGAATGTATTTGATGGAAGCTTTATGGCAGTGAGATCTCTTTTGTTTTAATCTCTTTAATTAGTCGTCTCTGAGCTTCTGAATTCCACTCTCTCGCAGGGTTGTTTAACTTCAGTTGTCTTGAGCGCACCATGTCCTTGTCATTCAAAGAATCCATATTTCCGTGGGATCCTTACGTGACTTTAACATAGACCGCCTTCACTCACTGAAAGAATTCAGAAAAACAAAAGTGAGAGCTTACAAAATGGGCTTCTTCGATTAGCTACAATGCAAGAAATGAGCCCATCACACAACACAAGAAGTGAGAGGCGTTTTCTGATCGATTTTCTAACAGCCTTTACACAACAGCGGAGAGATCTTCACAGCCTCTCTGTGGCCAGCAGATAAGTAGAAGCTCTTTAAGAGTAGAGGGTAGCGAGAAGGAGAGAGAGAACGCTGAAGCTGAGCCCGATTTTGATTCGTGTCTGACTAAGTCTTGTCCGGACAGAAGGTACACTGTGAGTGCACAGAGCTGTGATTGTTCTGACAGCTGGATTTGCTTGAAAACACGATTATTCAATTTACCGTTTGCCTTTATTCCTAATTGCCCCAGTAACGACAAAACCTGTGCCAACAGATATGACACTGTATCTGTAAACACATTCATGATGTGAATTTTTTTCTCCTTGCTAGATCATATGAGGGCAGTTTGTGATGAAATCAGATTTTAAGAGTGCACCACTGATAATGCTTATTGACTTATGTTTAAGTGAAAGTTATATTCAGGTATATTACGGAAAGTTCAGACTATCATTATTTTTCATAGAGAATGTAGACATACAGGAAAATCTGATCAATTGAGGATTTAAAACAGTGTGGAAAAAAGTTTTCCTGGAGCATGGGCTGATATTTGATCCCTAACATACTGGGCTTATTAGGCAGATTAGGAAACGTTATCCTTGGCCAAATCCTTTGTTATCCAAAGGCATTGTTCCTAAGGACGAGAGATCGAGGGAGAAAGGGAGAGAGAGAAGGAGGGGGAGAGAAAAAAAAGAGAGAGAGAGAGAGAGGAAACCACCTCCACCCTTCAGCCACTCTGAAATATTCCTCCATTTCCCCAATTCAGAAGTGCCACGCTTTGCATTTTTCTCCCCCCTAATGCCTCAATAGGCAAACTGTTTGCCCTTATGTACCCAAGTGAAATATGAGCTACAGTAAATTATTATTCTTTGGGCCACATTTGTGAGATGAATGCGGGGTGAGCTGTGCTCCGTTGCTCTCCTAATGAATTGAGGAATTTAGCTTGTGGCGGTGGGACGGCAGAAAGGCACACCTTGTTTTCTGCTTCTCCCGCTCCTCTCACATGGTGTTACTGAAAGCCCTTGCAAACAGGAGTGCGGTGAGGGAGACGGCCTCGGTGGCAGCCATGCACACACACACACACACACACACACACACACTCAGACTGTTCTGGCCAGAGGAAAATCACTCCAATGGACACTGGACCACAGCGCACATGCTTAAGCGCTCTTACTAGGCAAATATTTTCATTTATTAAGCACATCCAAAATGCCACGCGCTAGTTATATATACCATGTCTGCCTGGTCTCTTATTTCTCTGAGGTGGTGAAACTCAATAGCTTAATAATCTGCACATTAGAAGCGTATCTTTGTATGAGCCGATCCCCGAACAAATGTTCGTTTTAACCCGGTATGCTCCAGTGCAGTGAGAGGTGGTGTTTGTCAGAATGGGTCACAGAGCTAAAGTTACATTCGCAGGCGTGTGGCAGTGGTTAAACTCTGGCAGGACTGGAGCCGAGTGCTTTAGGACATATCACGCTGGATTTCCGA